CAGGCCTGACCCATTTGGACAGGCATAGTTCTTCTCTAGGCTCCCCGCCCCCCCACCTTGGTAATAAGAGTGGGGAGGAGGGTGTTGATTACACCAAGTCCTCCCAACCTGAAATCCTGGCTGTTTGGGTATCTGCAAAAATAATATTGCAATTTCTCAAGCTATGCTAAACACTTCAGGCCTAAGGGAAATCAGGTAAATATATGTAGCCCTGATAAGCCTGATCACACTAACCAAATGTCAAGTTCCTCCACTTACAAGGAATTATATTAACTCCAGGAAAAAAACACCATTTGCTTAATACTGACTAGAGATTTGGATTGGCAATTAGTTATCTTTCCAGAACAAAATAAATAAAAGTAACCTAAATCACCTTTATACTTAAAAGTGCTATTTCCCAAACAGATGGGTTTTTTTTTTCCCAAAGCACGTGACCCATGGGTAAGAAGATAATAAAAAGGGCTGTTGGTGAAAGACTGAGATTATCAACGCACTAGAGGATTTCTGAAGCCCGTTCTTGGCTCGAACGCTCAGCGGATTACTGAAAGTTGCTCTAAAGCAATCAACTATAACAATTTATTTCACGTGTAATTTTACTCTGTGGCATCCAGGGGAAGATGTCTTGCTCTAAAATTTCAAGGGAGAAAAAAATAGAAGACCCAAAGGATGATTCTAAAAAGTAAAAGCAAATGAAGGGGGGATTTTAAAAGCTAGGAATGCCAGGACAGCAGACAAAAATAAATTTAAGTTTTTAAACAATAGCAACAAAAAAGGTCAACTGACCTGGAGTAGAAATGGTAATAGGACTTAGCAATAACAATAGGCCCTGCCTTTTATCTACATGTCAATGTGCAGTTACTCTGTATTCCAGAGGGCTAAGAAGGGGGATGGGAAGGATGGCTGGCATTGCTCACCAGTCCCATCCATTTCAGGAATCACTGAGGGCTCAAGGTCCTGTAGAGGTCAGGGTCTGGAAAGTCAGCAATAAGTTTTCTCTTTTTAGAAGCCTCTCACTTTGTGGGGGATCAGGGCAACCAGGAAACTGCTCTCAGTCCTGTGACACTGGCATACAAGCCCGTCCCAGCCCCTGGAAGCAGGGCAGATGGGAGCAGGGGCAGAAATGGAGAAGCAGGTGAAGAAAATATTACATCCTTCCAAGAACACAGGGTGCTGGTGGAAAGAGGATCAATAGTAATAATAGAACACGCAGATAGCACTTTAAAAACAAAGTACTACTGTAAATAAATGAGTTACCTCAGTTAGGCCTTATAACAAACTTGTACATTAGGTATTATTGTTATCCCATTTTACAAACCAACCAAATGAGCAGAAGAAAGGTTATTTATTTAAAGCTTGCTAAAGCAAAGAATCAGTCGCTATCCACGTATTTGGAGGACATTCAAAAGCAAGCAGAAAAGTGGGAAAGCTTTATGATGGATAAAAGGGGAGGCTCTGGTGTGGGGAGCTGTAGCTGGGTTAACTAGAAGAGGACATCCTATGTGATTGGTTAGGATGCATATGTGGCTTTTTCTGGTTGGTCCTAAGGGGGAAGTGAGGACAAAAATTAGGGAAGCTAAAAGGTAGTCATCAACCCCTGTCCATTTGGGGACTATTGTTACCAAGGTCATTGTTTGGCTTCCCTGGGTGGTAAGCAGAGACAGTGGTCAGAATTTCTGTAAGTCTGATTTAGGCAGACTTTCTGGGAAGGTTACTCTGTGTTAAAGGCTTGGTTTTCTGGACAAAGTTCTGTTTTTATATATGGCCTTGCCATTGACCATCTATATATTCAGTCTCTTAATACTTAGGTATGAGTCTGTACAAAACAAAGTTTTTCCAAATAATTAGCAACACTGACTCTCAGAGCCCTGGAGCGGGACAAGGTGTGACCTCTGCACTTCATCTGTACACCAGAATGCCTCATAGAAATCATATATTCACCTATGAAATATACACATGGCTCAATAAAAGCACCAACCATTTCTTTCAAAAGTAAGATCAGTATATTGTATTTCCTGTTTACTGATTTGCTTTCACACTAATTAATAAGTTATAAGAAAAATGATTTAATAAACAAAAGGTAGATCAAAGTTTTCAAAATACAGATACATCAAAGGAAAAAGCCCTCAAATCCTTTCAAGTACTTCTTGCTCTAAAACTCAAATATATTTCACTCCATAAACTGACCTCAAGTTTGCTGGCAGAACCAAAGCTCGAGTGGGTGAATCATGGGTCTGACAGAGTGGCAACACCATGTCTTAGAGGAGCACAGCTTGAGTCCAGTGCCCCCTTCCTGTCTGTCTGGCCAAACCCTCCCCAGGAGCTTAGATAAAAGTGCAACATTCATGGTCAGAATTTGAATGAATACAGCTCATTGTCAAGTATCCCTGCACTCACTGTCTCTGACTATTGGGATAAGATACTAAATGGCTATTGAGTGAAGAAATACAGACCTCTTTGCTGGATAACTTTGAAGGGGGAAAAAAAAAGAACAGAAAAAGAAAAAACTAATTCTGTCTCTCTTCTAATAGATACTTGATGGAAAGCATGACTCCAGTGTAGCTAAAGATATCATAGACCTGGCTTAGGCCGACTCTCCTGTGATTTCATACAACCTTGGGATAGAATGCTCCTGCCTTCTTTTCTCACTCCTATGGCCTCCATCCAGTACAATCCATTCAAGCCCAAAGACCCTCAACACAAATGCCAACTCTTGAATAACACCTCCCCTGGTCAGGTTGCCCTGGCATAATCACTTGTCTTTTGTTTCCATGAGATTTTGAGAAGAATGTTAAGAAACACCTACACGGTGGCATTATAGCTATTTTTTTTATATACAATGTTAATCTCCCTTACTATATCATGAGTTTCTTTTGTACAAGTCTGTGTCTTATTTACCTCTCCTTCCCCAGTGCCTGACATGTAATAAGGCATCTCGCTACCTATTCTTTCATTTCATATTCAAAAGCCCAGTGAGAAAGTATGGTTATTATAGTGGTATTGAGGAAATTGAGGCTCACATAGATCAATTACCTGTCCAAAGTCATAAAGCTGAGCACTGGGTCCCACATCTTAGCACTTCCACAGTTTTCATAGCATCCTTTCCCTCCAATAAGCTCTAAAAGCTGCTTCACTGAGGCAGAAAAGAACACTCCACAGTGTTCCAGACTACCAGTACCTGTGTCTGAGCAGTTCACTTTGTGATGCTAACAGGCATGCTTGGAATTTGTTAACAACACCAGCCCTAGTGCTCTCTACCTTTGGTGATATGCCATTCTCACTCTCTCTTTTCTTCCTTGTGAAGAATATACAAGTACAGCTTTTGTCAAGTTTGTTCAGTGATCATGTATTAATTTTTAATAAAGAAAAAAACACTGGCATCTATGTGGCAGCAAAGAAAACAGGATCACAAGCTGAGTAGGTATAAATTCTATGCCTGCAGCCTCCTCAGGACTCAAGGGGTAAGGAATTTCTGTGTTCAATCGTCAGTGTTTCTTATGGCTATGAATATGTCTCTCATTGTTGGTGGAACTGCAAATTGGTGCAGCCACTATGGAAAATAGTATGGAAATGCCTCAGAAAACTAAAAATAGAGCAACCCAGCAATTCCACTTCTTGGTATTTATCCAAAGAAAATGAAACCGCTAGTTTAAAAACATATATGGACACTTATATTCATTGCAGTATTACTAGTAATAGCCAAAATATGAAAGCAACCTATGTGTCCATTGATAGATGAATAGATTGAATGGATAAATAAGATGTGTGTGTATATATATATATATATATATATATATATATGTGTGTGTGTGTGTGTGTGTGTGTGTGTGTACATATATATGTGCATGTATATATATGCATGTATATATAATATACATATATTATATATGTAATATATACATATATATTAGAATATTACTCATTAATAAAAATAATGGAATTCTGCCATTTGCAACAACAAGGATGGATGTAGAGGATATTATGTTAAGTGAAACAAGTCATACAGAAACAGAAAAATACCACATGATTCCACTTATACATGGAATTTTTCTTAGAAAATCAAAACAAATGAACAAACAAAACAGACTCATAGAAATGAAGAACTGATGGTTGCCAGAGGGGAGGGGATAGAAGGATAATTAAAAAAAGGTGAAGGGAACAGAGTCAATAATAGTGTGATAACTTTGCATAAGGACAGATGGATACTAGACTTAGTGTGGTGTTCACATGTTATAAGATATGTAAATGTTGAATCACTATGTTGTACACTTAAAACTTATCTAATATGGTATGTCAGCTATACTTTAATCTAAAAAAGGCAGCTCAAAAAATTATATTCTACTTATTAGGAAAAGGAAGCCCTGCTAGGAATAGTTATTTCAAAAATCTTTGCCTAGACTTGGCTGAAGTAAACCCTTTGTTCTGACCTTATTCCCTCTAAGCAACTTTCTGGTTATCATTTGTTTTCTTCTGTAAATGTTCACTCAAGGAGAGGGGGTATGATAAAACACACACACACACACACACACACACACACACACTGAGTATTTTTTATTTGCAAGATACGTACAGTCCTCATTATCAATGAACAAATTGGCATTCTGTTTTACGTACCAAAGAGAAAGTAAAATATGTAAAAAGCAAAGTATCTGCTATTCTAGCAGATTTGCCTCTTAGGTCATGTCCCCTACTCTTTGTCTTCTGATGTCTCCTATCTCTCTCACCCAGCCCCTCTCTAATGGCACTTCTGTGCATTTTTTAGGGACCCCTGCCTGGTCCCAGCACAGTATCATCAAAAAGTCCTCTATTACCACATTGGCAAGTTCTGGCAGGAAAAAGAGAAGTCTTGCTTACATGTAATATTTTTTATAATCTTAATGAGAACTGTTTCTACTAACTCAGCTTCCCCACTAAGCTAGATGTGGCTACAATTCCTTGATCTGCAAAGTTCTTAGGAAACACAACAAATTGTCTAAGGATATCACAAGGTGGCAGATACTCACATTTTCTGACCGGAGCCTCTTGGCAGGACACCCACCGTCCCTAGGGTGAAGCATGTAGTACAGTCGGACTTTGCTTGCATGTTTTCGACTCTGGGAAGGAAAAGCAAAAGCGGATACTGAAAAGGAGAAGGCATTTTAAATCCTTGAAAACACAGCCAGTGACTGCAAATGCCATGAAGCACTTTTATTAGAAAATACTTTTGCGCTGAAACCGGTTTGTCTCAATGGATAGAGCATCAGCCTGTGGACTGGAGGGTCCCAGGTTCAATTCTGGTCAAGGGCATGTACCATGGTTGTGGGCACATCCCCTGTGGGGGGTGTGCAGGGGTCAGCTGATCGATGATTCTCTCACATTGATGTTTCTAACTCTCTATCCCTCTCTCTTCCTCTCTGTAAAAAAAATCAATAAAGTATATTAAAAAAAGAAAGAAAGAAAGAAAGAAAGAAAGAAAGAAAGAAAGAAAGAAAGAAAGAAAGGAAGGAAGGAAAAAAAAAAACGCTTTTGCATGCTCCTGTGAGTTAAGTGGGATAAAGCTCAGATAGGTCAAGTGACCTGCCTAAGGTCATAAAGCCAAATTAATGTGAAGATTAGAAAGCACACTTAATGATGAAAGGTAAGAGCTTTGGGATCTTTTAGCTTGGAATGGTTAATATATTTAATTGTCCTCAAAATCAGAACAGGTGAATAGAAGGAATAATACAGGGCTCAACTATGATGAAGACCCAGGTTCTCTTCTTTCTCCCTCCTGTGCCCTGCCCTGAGGAGCTGGGAGCCATGCCCCTGGGAGTCAGGCACCACAGCAATCTCCAACAGAAGTCATCTCCTCAGTTTCCATACCTGAACCTCAATAACAAGCTATCACAAAGCTTCCCAATGTCAGATGTCATGAGCAAACAAAAAATATCATCTGTTCATCTGAGGTCTGGTCACAGCTCTAGGTCCATGTCTGCAGCACACCCAGTGGACAAAGCAAGCCTGTCTTCCTGCAGGATTCACAGGACTACCGAGTTCTGCCTGCTGACGAGTCCATGCTCAGCCTGGAGAAGCTGACCCTTCTTTAGACTCATCTTTCCTCTACTCTTTTATTCAACTGAGACTGCGACCCAAGTCCCCTCAATTTTAAAGAACATTGCAGTTCTGACTTCCAAGTTGCTCACTGAGGCAGGAAGGTGGGGTTAAAAGAATAGTAATGAAGCAGTCAAGACAGATCACAATACAAATTGTTGGTCCCATCTATATATATAAAAGCCAGCAACCATAATGCCCTAATGACAGAAAAGCCCCACTGCAGCCAGAGAACCTGCCCAATCAGGGGGCGGGGCCAAGTGGCCAACCTCCTGCAGCCCCTCCCCCCAGCCAGCCCCCACCAACCAAATTGGCTGGCAGCCCCTTCCCCCAGCCAACCCTGCCCCTGATTTCCATCTCTATCCCAATTGGGGCGGGCCTTCCCAGCCAATGGCCCACAGCCACTCCCCACAGCTGGTCTGTCCCTGAACAGCACCCTGATCAGGGTGGATCAGCCAGCCAACCTTCAACTGTCTCCTCCTCCTCACAGGCCTGGCCCTGATCCACTGAATTTGTGTACTGACTCTCTAGTAAGATTATAATGGTACTGAAAAACCCCTGTCACTCAATGACATCATAGCCATGCATTACTCCTGTGCTTGTGGTGATACTGCTATAAACAAACCTACTGCACTGCTAGTCTATAAAAGTATAGTAATACAATTATGCTACTGATTTATGTATTTACTATACAATGCTTTTTACTGTTAAGTTAGAATATAATCTTTCCACATGTAAAAAAGTTCGCTGGAGCCGAAGCCGGTTTGGCTCAGTGGTAGAGCGTCGGTCTGCGGACTGAAAGGTCCCAGGTTTGATTCCTGTTAAGGGCATGTACATTGGTTGCGGGCACATCCCCGGTAGGGGGTGTGCAAGAGGCAGCTGATCAATGTTTCGCTCTCATGGACGTTTCTAGCTCTCTCTATCTCTCTCCCTTCCTCTCTGTAAAAAATCAATAAAATACATTTAAAAAAAAAAAAGTTCGCTGGAAAAGAATATACTGTTATGCCAGCTGCAGCCTCATACATCTATTATTTGATGAATCTCTTGATTGCATCATTTTCTCTTGTGCTTCATTGAATCTTGTGCAGTTTTGTACTGTTACACACTGTACAGCTTGTAGTCCAAGAGCAATAGGCTATACCAAATAGCCTAGGTGTGTAGTAGGCTCTACCATCTAGGTTTGTGTAAGTGACTCCATGACATTTGCACAACAATGGAATCACCTAAGGAAGCATTTCTCAGAATGTAGCCCCATTGTTCAGCTGAGCATGACTGTTGTGGGAAGTTCAAAACCCCACTTCTGGCTCTACCACTTTCAAACTGTGTGATGACAAACAAGGCACTTATTCTAATTTGTTTATAGCCAAAATGAGACTCATTGCCTCCATGTACAAAATGAGCATAATAATATTTCTTAGGGTTGCCATGAGAACCAAATAAGACAATGCATTGAAAAATTGCAGTCTACATAATGCTAAAGATTTTAACACTGTTGCACCAATCCCTACCTTTGGTTCTACCATAGTCTCTATAATGTGATTTTTTTTTAATTTATCTTTATTGTTGAAAGTATTACTGATATCCCAACACCCTCCCCCCCACCAATTGACTGCCTCCATCCCATCTTTCCTGTGTCTGTGTCCATGGGCTATGTATATATGCATATAAATTCTTTGGTTAATCTCTTCTCCCCTCCTCCTCCATTCCCTCTGAGATTCGTCAGTCTGTTCTATGCTTCTATGTCTCTGGATCTATTTTGCTTATCAGTTTATTTTGTTCATTAGATTCTACTTATATGTGTAATCTATAATGTGAATTTGCCTTGAATTAATTTCTACCTAATTCTAATCCTCCATCCCCTTCTTATATCAGATATTATTTCTGCTTTTCCAGGCCTCAGCTCCACTTTGCCCTTCCCGACAGTTGAGTTCCAGCCAATCTCCTGGATGATGGCTTGTCTTCATTGATTAGTCACAACAGCAAACTGCATCTTGTTTACAAGACATATTGTAAATCCTTCCTGTCTGGTTTTACTCATTAATCACTTTTTAAATTCTTTTTTATGCTTAGAGCAAGAACACTGTGCTTCTAAACAGTCCCTGAATACTTTGAAGGCCTTTAAGTGGGTTTAAAAGTGCTATTGTAACATGAAAAATATGAAGAAGTACTGAAGTTTGATTTTGTAATACATTTGTGTCCATTTCTAGGATGCATAGTAAATTTCTTTATTTTAATTGAATTTTTTTGAGAGAGCAAAAGGGAGAAAGAAACATCAATATGAGAAGGAAACACCTATCAGTTGCTCACCTGCCTCCCATACACACTCTGATGGGGAACAGAGCTCACAGAGTATGTGCCCTGGCTGGGAATTGAACTCATAACCTTTCGTTGTATGGGGTGGTGCTCAACCAGCTGAGCCACACTGGCCAGGGCTAGGTTGCATAGTAATTTTAAAGGCAGGCTTATCTGGAAGATTAGTAGAACAGAGAAATAGAGACCTATGTGAACCTTTGTCGTATGATTTCAACTCTACTGATCAGTCTCCACATTTCTGAGAATGACTAGCGCAAGCTGGTATTTGTTCTTTTTGCAGATAAATATGTTAACTACTAAAATATGTACACATTATCTACAGCTGTGTATACCTTTTGTAAGAAGGGGTAGAGGTAACATTAGGAACATACTGCTATAGACAAAATCATTTTTAAAAAGAACGTTAAGAAAACCAACAAGCTGCTGATTGTGGCCACAGAGTCTGGGCTGGTGAAAAGCACAGCAGACAGGTAATTGGTGGAAAGACAAAGTGATAATAATGAGAACTCAAACATGGCTGAAGTGGGTTTTCAATTTTTCATTTGTTACCATAGAAAAATTTCTTATCACAGTTCCTACATCATCAATCTATTCAAAGCCCTGGATTCCCAGAGAATAAAACTGTGGCAAAATTGGAAATCTCATAATGCAGCCTTTCTGTGGCTGTTTTTTTTCTTTCTTTTCTTCTCTTTCCTAAAATATTACCCTTATTTTATAAAGACTCTTCCCAGCAAAGGCAGAGTTCACTGGGTTATTTAATTGCAGTTTAATAAACTAGCAAGAACTTGTTAACTGAGAAGAAATAGAAATAAACAGTAAACTCTGCTATGAAGTCATGCTATGAGGAGAGATGTTGGGGTTTAAGGAGTATTATCAAATGTTACCAAATGCTGTTCATAAATGCTGGTTTGTCTCCATCAGCTCCCCCAGCTCCAGCTCTGATGGAGGGAGGACTGACTCTCCTGTAGATACTACTTTTGCCCTTGTGTGTGGGTGAAGAGAAATAGCCTCGGCAAGCACCACCTGGTTTTGGACTGATACTGCTGGTGTGGCCCTTTTGTGTGGTCACCTCTTTTCCCTCCCACTGCTTTTGCCAGGCTGCCTGGGCTGGATCCAATGCCTCCCAAGCACCAGCCAACCCTGACTTAGGACTGGAAGTAAAAACTCCAAGGACAATGAGAGGCGTATGGAGTGACCCTCCCAGTCAGTCTGATTCACACCCAAAGCCATTTCCTAATGATGTTAGGTGAGAAAGGGAAAGAGGTCCCTAGCAGAATGTTCTGGGGCACTCAGCACCTGCCCAGCCTCAGCACTGGGGTGTCTTCGGCACCATTCAACAGCAGGGCGCAGCAGCTAAGCCTTCTTTCTTCCCCATGGCTCACTCGCTTCTTTCTCCTGGCAGGACACTCTGAGTCACCTACAGTGGCTTCCTTCCTCTGGCTGTTCTCAACCACTGAACTAACTCAACTGCTTGACAGTTGGCATGGTAATCTCACTTCCTTCCATTTATTCTAAAAATAAAACCTTCCCCACAGAAAGGTAAAATTAAATTTGAGCAAAGATGTCAATTTTAGTATGATCTAAAAACAAACAAAAATAATGGGAGCCCTAGCTGGTTTTGCTCAGTGGCTAGAGTGTTGGCCTGTGGACTGAAGAGTTCAGGGTTCAATTCTGGTGAAGGGTACATGCCCAGGTTGCCGGCTCAATCCCC